TTGGGATCCGTCAAATGGGCATACACCACCTGGTAGCAAAACTCCTAACTAAAATGAGGGATTAACATCCAAGAGAGTGGTAGACATAAATCGTAAAATTGTTTATTAAAATAATAAAACACACGTTAAAAAAGTAAAAAATTTATTTTGTTAATGGAGTCGACGAAGGTTTCTCCTAAAGTTAAATCAAATAATATGTTCAGTGAAAAGCTGCAATAGCACTTCAGACATAGATTTTCACCTACATTAACATTACTTTCCAATAATAACTAACCGTTTTGCATATGTAAAAAGTATATTCGGAAAATTAGAGAAAAAAGTAAACTAATAGAAGCTTGGATGAAAGCAGTAGATATCAAAGAAGTGAATTCCGGAATAAAAATTTGTTCACGTTATTTTAATGTACATGATTATATTTCAGCAAGTATTTACCATCAGCCATAACCTTAATATTTAAAACTAGAATCATACTAAAATTATAAAGTGAGAAATTATTTATTCCTGTATAATTGATTTAACACAATTCTAATGATACGATATAAGTATTTTGAGGTTAAGAACCTACCTGCTGCAATACAACAAAGTTGCAATAATGTGTTTGCAACGTTCTCTTAAATCGGCTTTGCACGTGCAAGTCATTGATATGATATTGCTTAAATCACCCAGAATCACCTCACCAATTATTTAATGTGAATCACTTGACGGAATTTGAAGGCTAGCTTCCGGATTTGTTTTTTCCGAATTTTATAATGTGATTGGCATTAAAAACACGCTCACCTTCAACGAAATTTCCTTTCCCAGGCTTTGTGCCAGTCCAATCACATATTGTGTCAATACTTATCATTTTATCGTAATTTAAAAACTTGGAAATTGCATAGTACACTATAGGAACTATGATAAATTTTCCCTAATCAGCGCCATGTAATTAGACTCCTCCTATTTGACGGATCCCAATAGTGTCCTGATTGATATCCCAAAGTACAAAAAAAATTAATCAAAAAACAACCCCAATCTTGGATTTGTCGAGTTTCAAGAATTGAGACTGGACTAAGCGTCTGATTGTATTCGCTTTTTTTTGTGCCAAATTATTTAATTTCTCCTAAACACTATACAATTATGTTTATTTAAATTGTTCTAAAATTATAGTAAACGTTATGCTAACATACAAAAAAAATGAATCAAAGATCATTTCGGAATGCAAGTGGTGAAATACAGGCATAATCAGCAATACAAAGTGTAGTCCTTGTATTTGCCTCTTGTTTTGTGGTGCCCATTACTTCACTAACTTTCATGTACAAAGCCGACACGAAGTTTCTGCCCCGGCTGGAATGCAATTCCATTGGTACTCTATAGCGATTAATTCAACTATTGTCCAGCTTTTCGGCAACGGGGTGTGCTTCCTGATTTAGTATCGCGTGTGCTTTTGGACAGTTGCTGAAGTAATCCATAACGACTAAGATATATAGGTTACTTTAGTCTGCCAATGGGTATGGTCCTGCTACGCCAACTGTGATTCTCTCATAAAATGGCGCTCATCTTCACTCCCTTTCTTGCATCAGATTTTCACGTCACTTCTACTTCGTAGCCAATAAAGTTGCTTGCGTACCTTCCCTAGAGTGTTCGAAACTTCGAAAAATCCTTCTCCATGGATTACTTCTAGGACTTCTGAAACCGTCTGAAGTCCACCCGGACTGTCCACATTTTAAAGTACCGTAGTCTAAGATAATAAGTTGGTTCACGCTGATTTAATTCCATTCCGCTTCAATATCTTCATCATTCCTATGGTCATCGATTAAATCATTATCTTCCTAGGATTCGTCAAGCCAAGCGTTGGTTAGATTACAATTCCAGTTCTCCTTTCTTCTTCACAGATGAACAACGTTTCCAGTTTTCCACGTAAAGTCTCAAGGATAGTGCATTTGCGTTGCCTGGGTTCGATATCGAACTCGTATCCCTGTAGTCGATGTAACCAGCGTGCAGTGTAGGGTTCTTAATGGCAGTAGTAGCCACTTTAGCGAGGCGTGGTTCGTTCTTAAAGGGAACTTCCGTCCATACAGGTTTTTGTGGAAATATTCGAGGGTTTTAACCACACACAAATAGTTCTCGATGAGTAGTCAATGTAGTTTCGTTCCTGCTTAGAGAGTATTTTACTAAAGTGTCTGATGGTCTTTTCCTGGCCTTCTTCTAGTTAGGATAACACACCACCACATTGGTAGCATCAGCTTCAATGATGAAGGGCTCACTGAACTGTGGGTATGGCAAGATTGGGGCCCCAGAGAGTGTAATGTTGAAGTTTTGAATTTTTTTTGGCACATCAAGTTTAATCTTTGATAGTAGGAGGAATGTCCCGAAATGCTTCTATATTCGTACCTTGGTACCTATGGACCAATCTTGTACAGCATCAATTTTGTCAGGGTCGGCTTTAATTACTGCTGGTGTTATAAGACTACACTCGGTTTAGTTTTTGTGCCTTAAAATCGAAAAATACTGTTGTTGTTAATTGTTGTCCGTTACGTTTCTTTTAATGTTTAGCTTATTATTTTAAATGTCTGGGTTCGGGTAATTTTTTTTGTCTTATTTGACTGTTTATTTTTGCTACCATATAAACGCTTTTAAATGCGTTTTTCAGAATATTTTGTAGTTTTTGTTTGAAAGCTAAATAGAGAAACGTCATACATTTAGTACTATTTATTTCAATTGTATTACAATATATATTATTTAGTATCACTGCTTTTAATAATTTATCCTACCCGATCCTTAATTTATTGTTGCAAACATTTCAATTTGATTTTCAAAAAAGACTAGCGATATAAAGAGAACCAATGTAGTGTTAGCCTAGCCGTAGTTTATTTAGTTTATAGAATATGTTAAATAAATAAGAGTGTGTCTGCATTATTTACCTATTTGTAAAAAGAAAATATAACTTTGAAAAGTATTTCTATATAATTTTTTTACGAGAATATAATTGTGGTGCCATCTGTAGTACAGTAGCGAAATGAAAATCAAGATTAGTTACATCTTGTAAACCTAGATGACACACACTGCCAGTTATTTTTGAAATGAAAAAATGTTTTAGCAATGCTTAAGAATTAAAATTAAACATAAAATACATTGAAGAGTTTAATGAATAGCTCTTGTTATTCAAGTCAATAACTGATAAATTTTATTGCCCATTGTTCTAATATATTCGCTTAATTGGTTCCTTTCGTAAAGTCGAAATAACGTTGCCTAGTTCAGTTTTATAGCGACGTAAATTTTAAGATAGAATTCGAGACAAAAATTTTATGATGAAATAAATTTTGTACTTTGATCTCACTTGACTTGACTAAAAGATAGTGCCAATTTTATCTATGCTATAGTAAGTGTACCTGACGTAACTATTTAAGCTCGTTGAGTATTTATATATATGAGTATAGTACTTACATTAAAAATAAATCATTAAATAAACGGGTAGGCATTGCTATTTATCTACTAATTGTAACGTTCCTAGTAAAATTGGATAAAATACCATTGAACATAAGACATTAGTAGTAACATAAAATAGCAGCTCACAATAAAAAAGGATATAAGAATACACAATTTGAAAATCATTCAACAAAAATTTTATCATTTTCGCATTATACATACAAAAAAGACACAAAATAGTAGATACAAGAATTGCTAGACAATTTACATAATAATAAAAATAATTATTGTAAGTCGAGAGCAAAAACGACATACTACTTAGAACTGTGTAGAGTGTAAGCCAAATTTTTCAAATACAGGAACTATATACACGCTTATACTAATTTTTTCGTAGGATTGTAAATAGTACGTAAATATTTCATTTATGGTGCCAAATATGAACAAACAGAGTTCAACTTTTAGTTAATTGACTCCTACATTAATAAGAATAGACATTATTTTTTTTCAACAAAATGAAAATTGAGTTAATTAATTAAAGACTTTTGTTAATTTGATTTACGTGCCTATCACGTATGTATATAAATAAATTGGGTTGTACGTAAATTCAGTTTGACGAATACTTTTAGTAAGGCCTTTGTCAAAATACTGTAGTTAGCAGCGAGTATCGGTAGATGGCGATCTATTGTTCATAACTTTATTTTATATTAACGTAATTTTATGAAGCTAATGGCGTGCTAATGAGAACCAATATGTTCGGAATCGTGATCAACTTCTGGTACGTGCAATAAATTGTTAACTAAGTTTGGAAATTCAAAATCCTTAAAAAGGTAACAGACATTTCAAAGATAATTTCAAAAATATGTATATATCTAATGCCACTGGAGCGAAACACGTGTCAGGTGTGTCAATTTTTCGAAAATGATAGTTAAGGTTGATTAACTTTTAATAATTTACAGGTAAAAAGTAAGACTGAAAATTTAAACAAGAATTTCTCGTAATTTTTTTAAATAACAAGTATGTATTTAAAAAAATTACCCCATTCTCATTGTTAGCATTCTTTTGGTCTTTTTTGAATTATCCAAACTTATAGCGGTGGTTCTAAGAAGTATACTTCTTTTAGTTTCTCTAGCGATGTGCCCCTTCCAACGTCTTGAATGCGCTCTGGCAAAATCGTAGGTAGGGAGAAAAAAGCTCATTATACTCTCGACTCTTGTTCATTAAACATACTTCTTCATACAGTACCTGCCAAAAGTTTTGTTCTATCATGAATAGTAGTGCTAGTCGAAAACAAGCCTTAAAGCTTTTAATATGTCTTCAAATATAAATAAACATCTCGTTGATATTTTCAGTAGTAAATGGTACCAATAACAGCACATTTGAGTAATATAATTGTAGTGGATAAAATGGTCAATTTTTCCGTGCAGTACTGTACGGATTATACGCTCCTCACAGGTTAAGAGTTTGGCCGAGAGTTGTCTCCTTCCTTTTCTGGCCTAGTGCTGTTCTTTTCTACTTTGCGCCGGTCAAACTGAAGGTCACATCGTTACAGAAAGTAAACGAAGTATATTACCTACTGGAAAGTATTAAAGGATTCATACTGGTCAATAATAGAAATTTATTTCTATACCAAATTACAATAAATATACATTCAATATTATGAAAAATAACAAGTTACTTAACTCTACGTAACAAGATTATAAACTATCACAATTTTTATAAGTATGGCAGAAACTAACATTATTATTATTATTGTTACTCTTGTTATTAACTTTAACAATAGATACTTATTGATTATTTATTGGATACGTCATCGAGTCACTTTATGTCGCCTGCGTCTATTATTCAATAAATCCCCATTAATAATTATTTATTATTATTTAAAAACTACTACAGTATTTAATTAAACTACTCAGAACGAAGAATTTATAACGCCCTTGCAAACTTGTAAATAGACGAATTTATAATAATTACTCTACAATGAACTTCGCTAAATAATTAATTATTTATTTATTGATATTAAACTTCGCTAGATTTGGCGATATTCTTAATTGTGACTACATTTTTTAGAAATTGCTTGCAATACGATAGCGCACAATACAATATACACAATGACAAACATTAATTCATTTTGATCGGGTTTAGGTTTATAAATTACGGACAATACTGTACATTTAACATTACGTCTGGGATATTTTTGGCTCTGCATTATTTATCTATGTATACCTTTACTGTGATATCGCAGCAGCCTTGCAATATATTTATGAAGTAGTCAGTCAAGGTAAAAAGTTATAAGTGGCAAGCTGTACTGTACAAATTATTGCCATTCAAAGGTCGACAAAAATCAAACAATGTATAGTAAACGTTTAAATATATTGAAAGGTGTTTCATACCGTACTTACTAACTTATAATGAGCAATTACTGACTGTAAAAGCAGCATTTAAAAATAATATTACTCAATACAGTATGTAAATATGGTAGGTATAACTGTGTAAATTCTGGTAAATAAATGTAAAAGTTTTGGTTAATACGTTGATACATTTCCATATTTAGCGATATGTAAATATATTTACCAATAAGAAAGATTATATTTTTAAAAAGTAAAAAATTTAGCGTTTAAAATTAATCTTGAATACTTAATAATAGTAGGCTGGTGAAATAGTTGAGAAAAAGAGGTTAGTAGCAGACTAAGAGGGCAGAGGGGGCAATTTGATCTGGACCTCTGTCCTTGAGAGACCTCCAAATTTTGAGATGTTCTTTTTAAAGAAATCCCATAGAAAATCAAAATACATTCAGCTGTTATAAGAGTCAGTTTTGTCTTTGAAGTTGGAGGCCTTGTAGGTAACCAACATATTAACCTAAATAGGTTAAGTTAAGTTAGGTTATGTCAGGTCAGGTTAGGTCAGGTTATGTAAATTATCTATCTATGTCTTAAACAGAGAATTTATAAGTTCATAAAACCTTGCATGAAACATGAAATTAATACGTTGTTAACACAATTGAAGCGTTGTTTAATACCCACACCATCTAAATAGATGTAGGTAGTATAAGTGCAGTTTAAAAATACGTAATGCTGTAGTGAACAGCTTACAGATGATTTATCTTTTTAACTGAAATAGTATAATATTCTTAAATTTTTTTCTTTTTCAAACTATTGTTTATTTTTTTATTATGAATAATAAAATCCAATTAAGGTAGTCATTTAGATTTAGGCGGTTGTTCTTATCAAGTGTAAACAGCAACATTTTTACCTTGGAACTAACCGCAGAAAAACCGTACAGTACAAATCCAATTTTTAAGCAGCCTGAAGTATTATTTCGTATTACCACCTCAGGCCTCCGACGAGCTTGAAATTATGTTTCGTGCAAGAATTAAAATTTAAATAAAACAGTAATGTAACTGTAAATATTTTTTAAAATTAATTTATAGAACTTTTATTATTGATCTTACGTGGAAATGTAATAATAATAGTTGTATATTATTTAAGTACATAGTTAGAAGAAAGGTTTAAATAAATTGTTTGTACATAGGACTTGTGGAGATACTATAAATTGGGAAGGGATTGCGATTGTAAAAACCACCACCACTATCCACCTAGCCAAAATGTTAAACTATAGTAACTGACTGGTTACTAGGTTATATGGATATCCACCATAAAATCAACCAATTATAACCATATGTTTCTCTAAAACTCTAAATTAAGTTTCAGCGTACTTAAAGGATATCAACTCTGGCAATTCACATTAATGATCTTTTAGTACTTTTCTATAACCACCGTAAATTATTTGGACCAAAGTCCATTCAAAGGTTTTTATTAAGGTTAAAATTCCTAGCAGATAATAATCAATAGGTTAACATGGGATTTAAAATGCCTAGTTTAATTTATAAGGATCTGTAGCTAATCAGGGGCCCGAGAATATAAAGGGCTGTCGCTACCACAATAATCTAAAATTTTAAAAATTACAATTATAAGGTTGACAACCCCGAGATCAATCAACCTACGCGAGCACTTATTGAACGGAACAGGGGATTACCCGTCGCTTGTTTTGGGTTATTTTTTGTCAGACTAGAACAGCTGTTTATACTGAAGGAACGTTGTAGTCATACTTTTGTACTAGTCATCAAAGTGACAACCTGACTAATGAAAGTTTTATTGTTTACAATGCGCTGTTTTTTCTTTTCCTATACATCATTAAAGAAAACAGTTTTTTGACAAAATGGCAATTAGTTTGATTAATTAGTTGGACCCCCGAATAGTGTTGGCACAAGTAGATTTCTCCCTTGAATATAGGAGTATACAAAGAAATGACGTGCTACCTAATAAATTATTAGAAACACTAGAGTAAACAAAACAGTCTAATTACTTCATATATTTTTAACCAAGATTCCTAACCTTAAAAGTGCAAATTAAATTAGAAAAATTTGCATTTTTATTTCAATTTTTTATTTTATTTATATGTTGTGTTTTGTACATTTACATCCCTTAAGTACACTGATCCTTAAAGGTTTTTTCTGTTGTCTATTTAAAAAATAAAAACCAATAAGATTATGAGTAAGAAAACAAGATTAAATTGTGAAAAGGACTAGAATTCTATACAAATGTATGAGTGTATGTATACCAATACTGATTTAAGAGACATGCCCCGATGTTTTGGCATCTTCTAAAGTGGACATCGTGTATATTCCATCAAGCGTTACCATATCACGAACAATTTCCATTAAAAAGTGAAAGAGACTAGGGACGCGTAACTTTAACAGCCCTGTTGCATGAGTAGATTGGCCATTTTAAAAACTCGCCACGAAGCGGTAAAGAATGACGAGGGTCTTAAAGACTCAGCCTGATTGTTGTTTAGCGGCGGCGTCTGAGATCGAGATGCTGCTTCCTCTGTTGCAGCCGATTCGCCTTTTCCGTTTTCCTTCTGGCCGTTTCCGTTTATCGCAGGCGAAGTCATATTGTCTCCTCGTTATCGTTTCTGCAAATATAAAGAGGAATAACAATATCGCCGGGTAAACTTCCGTCACACATTAACACAAAGAGACATACTGTCTGAACTTTTTTAATCTTCCTTATAGTACCTATACGTATTTACAATAATATACATACATTAAAGGGTGTCCACAGATTCCTACGAACATTTGGAACAAAATGACGTTTGAAACAAAATAAAAAAATTATAAAATTACAACAGTTTTGATGCCGGCCCTGCACAATCGCAAATTAATTACGATTCCAGCTGATCGTAGAAAAATTCACCTTCAGTAGGTCGGAATCAGCTGCTTTTTGGGGTAATGTTATTGTTTATGTTTGGTATTAAGTTACGGATCAGTCGAAGAAAATGCACTCGCGTTAAGGTCTATTAGATGACATGTTAGAAAAACTACGTACCTATCACAATCGAAAATCTCATGATCGTAAACTGAAGTGGACCTAATGTAGTCGAGTATTATGTTATTTTAAATAGAAAAGAAATTTTAACGACTACGGAATAGTTAGAAGCGGTGAATAAACAACCCTCACCACCCAGCTTTTGGTAAAGGTTTGTAACATAACTACATAACGTACCAGTGTACGAAAACAAATGTATGTGTTATGGTTGTAAAAGTTGAGACAAGATGCAGACCTATTTTGACCATTCACATGTGTTAAACGTTAGTTTTGCCTGGCAGGGCTCATTAACCCCACGTGGGGTAATACAAGGATGTGTCCAGAAGGACCAAGTTGGTTATTTTGTTTTCATTAAATGTAAAAAGCTAAATATTGATATAACTTCGCATAATTACACTGCTGGAAGTGTGTGTGCTTTGGATTGTTGTGGAATTTACTTGTTTGTTAGTGTTAGTTTATTTTTTTAGTGGTCATTTCATAAAAGACTATTACAATAAGGACAATTAGTAGCGTGATAGTGCATTCTAGTAGAGTTACATTATACTATCGTATAATTCGAAACATTCCCGGTATCTTGGCCAAAATTCGCAGTAACAGGGTTCGCCGCTGTTAGTGTTGCATTGAAGCGAATAGCGGATAATTTCAACATTTTTTATAAAAGGTACGTTTTTCTTTTTCACTTTTACCTTTTTTTTACAAGGTGGAAGTGCATTCGGCTTCTTCCCAATAGGTACTTGTTACATCCACACTAGATCAGCTGAGCGACGTTAGTCGCCTAGATCGAGGCCCGTAATGAAACAAATTGTACGTTCAAATTTGCAAAGACGATATGCGAACTCAATGGTTACTGGATTGAAAAATTGTATAACACTTTTTAGTTGTATTTTGTGTCAGGAAGTCATGGTCTTTTTTTTAATTATTATAAATGGACACCCTGTATATGGCAGTGTCCCAACCTTTTTTCCTAGCGAACCAAAAGAAAGGTCCGAAAAAATTTGACGAACCCCCCTATGTAGTCGTTAATGACAGGTAAAAAAAAGCAATAAAATTTGATAGAATATATATTTTCATATTGCAGAATAATTGATTATATTAATCGTGAAACATTTAACTAAAACATTAATAAGACTAAAATGATTTAAATATAGTAAACTGCTTTAATTTGATATTTATTTCTAATTGTATTGTAAAAACAAATACTACATAGAAGGGAAAACTGCTGCAATGATTTTAAATATAAAGCAGATCATGATACTAATCACATTGATGAAATGTTTTAAATATAGATAAATGTTTGTAATAAAAAGAGAATAGTATTTGATAAGAGGAAATTTGAATAAGAGGAATAAATTTTAATGTATAAAATTGTTGATATATTTTGATATTGATGAAGTAATTTTGAAAAACAAATAAGGAAAAAGGAAATGAAAATATTGAAATTTATTATAGATTTCTTAACAAACAGGCAGCTAACAATCTGTTTTACAGTGGGTGTGTTCTTTAATTTTTGTGTTTTTGTTTTGTTTTTTTTTTTTGCTTTTGATTTTAATGGCGTTTTAAAAAATCCGCCATTACAATATTATTTTCGCGAACCCCCTCTGCAAACACTGCGAACCCCCAAGGGTTCGCGAACCATCGCTTGGGAATCACTGATATATGGTTTATGTCATTTAATACTTAACAAAATTGGTTAAATACAGGACGGACTCGGGCAGTGGTTCTGCAGTACAGAATATCTCACAATAGTAAATAATAACAATCATTACGTTTTTTTTTTAAACAGGTTCTGCTCGAACTCTCCGAAGATGATTGAATAAGTGAAAACAATTGTTAGACTATCTGAAAAAACTGTAAAGGTAAAACTACCACTTTGTGATTTCTTTGACATTATTAAAATGACTAAACGACTATATACGGTCACATACGTTTATTTTTATTTATACATATAAGGTTAGAAGCGTTCGAAATGTGGTGTAACTGACGAATAATGAGGATACCGTGAATAGAGAGGGTTAGAAATGAAGAGGTATTGGAAAGAATAGGAGAACAGAGGACTCTATGGAAGTCAATAAAAAATAGGCGAGATAGGTTGGTAGGATACCTTCTCAGGAATGAAAGGCTGGTTAGAGACATTTTAGAAGCAGAAACAGGAGCTGAGAGGAGTCGAGGTAGATCTAGATTAGATTATTGCTCATAAATGGTTAAGGATATGAGATATTCTAGTATCAGGGAAATGTAAAGATGCGTGTCCAACAAATCTTGAAACTGACGACTTTATGATGATGATGATACATGTATTAATTATTTCGCAGAAACAGTGTAACATTTGATACGTTTATTTTCAATTATTTATCTGTAAACCCTACATCTCCCTTCTGATATATTTTTAGAAAGATTGTACCAAAACATCAATATACCGGATATACACATGTATATACATAATATTGGTTATGAATTCCTGTAATTTGAATGTGAGAACACCTACATATGTTTGGGTATACATAAACTGATTTACGCCCGCATTCTTGGCAACCGCTGACAATTACACGCTGCATTATCTATCCAATGAATGTTATAGTTACATATAATAAATAATAGCAACAACTGGGCACAATAACAACTTCTTCACTTGTTATCTAGCAAATAACGAATTAGCTCTGACATTTAAGTGGTAAATGGCCAGGGCATGTGCAAGAACCAAAATAAACTGACTTAAATCGGATTATTCTAATAAAAGATTGGACAATTGCGTGTAGAAAATAATGAGTATGTATATTCACGTCAATAAATGATGAATAAGTGCGAGATTGATTCGTACCTTATAAAATATGTAGTTATGTATAACGATATCGAAAATTTATATTTCTTGAACTCGAAAAAGATTGAATAAAATAATTCGAAGTGGTCTGTATTTTGTCGAAACTGCCAGACGCGAATCGCGATTTCGATCTTTTTGGATCTCATCAGCGCGTCGCTGACAGCTCCGACAGAACACAGACCAACTTTCACCTGCTGTCTTAACAGCGCGTTTTAGAAAATACCACAAATGGCGAGGTAAACGCGATCTGTAGTACGATGCTACATTTTAGGATTACGTATGCTCCAACAAGGTCCATTTAAATATATGGATATCTACTTGCTGAAACGAATCCTGGCGTAGATAACCTCAAAGTGGTCTAGACCACTTTGGATTACTTTATTCGATTATGGTGACGTGCCTATCACGTTGAGGTTAGCTACGTCGTTTCAGCAAGTAGATATCCATATATTTAAATGGACCTTGTTGGAGCATACGTATAATCCTAAAATGTAGCATCGTACTACAGATGGCGTTTACCGCGCCATTTGTGGTATTTTCTAAAACGCGCTGTTAAGACAGCAGGTAAAAGTTGGTCTGTGTTCTGTCGGAGCTGCCTGCGACGCACTGATGAGATCCAAAAAGATCGAAATCGCGATTCGCGTCTGGCAGTTTCGACAAAATACACACCATTTCGAATTATTTTATTCGATTATGGTAACGTGCCTATCACGTTGAAGTTAGCTAGGCCGGGATTCGTTTCAGCAAGTAGATATCCATACAAATGGACCTTATTGGAGCATACGTAATCCTAAAGTGTAGCAACGTACTACAGATGGCGTATACCGCGCCATTTGTGGTATTTTCTCGACAAAGATTGTTAAAGTGTATGTCTGGGCGCGGCACTGTACGGGTGCGAAACATAGACGGTGAGCGCGGCGGAAAAGAAAAGGTTAGAAGCGTTTTAAATGTAGTGTTACAGACGAATGATTAGCATATCGTGGATAGAGAAGGTTAGAAATGAAGAGGTATTAAAAAGAGTAGGATAACGGAGGAAGTAAATAAAAAATAGGCCAGATAGGTTGGTCGAACATGGAGAAGAGTCAGACAAATTGCAAACAGAAACAGGAATTAAGAGGAGTAGAGGTAGGTTTAGATTGAATTATTACTCATAAATGGTTAAAGATGCGAAGATTAGCTCAGGATATGAAATAGTTGATAATTATGGTTGGTCGAATAAATCGCATTGTGATTTTTTAAGTTCTACATCAGATTAACAGCTCATTTAATTTGTTTCTTTATTACTGTTGTACAAATTTTGGTACGTTTTTATTATTTACGACACAATTTCGTTAATACATTAACACTATCCAACATTTACAGCTGCCGACTAATTATATCATTCATCCTGTCGCCTAGCTACATTAATTATGTTTTTAAAATATTATAGTCTACGTTCGCTGATAAATAATACCACTGGTAGATGGTAGCATCATGAAGAAATTAAATAACAATATAGAATATAAAAACTTAATCAAATAACTAAACTACCTCAATTCAATGTGCTTCTAACCCAATTCAATTGATAGTATGGTTTAATTTTTGTATCATATCAATTCTTAAATATATGAAATCCTACGACATTGTTAGTTACTTAATAGTGGATTAATATGCAATATTAATTTGAAATCATTTTTTCGTTTTTTTATTTTCCCATTACAAACTACCTCAAATTAATGAGGGAAAAATTGTTGCAGTTGTCACACCGCCGCCGGGAATCGAACCCGAGA